GGGGGGGGGGGGGGGGGGGGGGGGGGGGGGGGGGGTGCTGGGCATGGCCCTTCCACCCCATACCCTTACGGGGTGACTAAGGGATCTCCCCCAGTTGGAGCTCAAAACAGAAAGGAATATCATATTTTTCATTTCTTTCGTGAAGCAGCATTTTGTTTTCAATTTTCCTTTCGTGAAATTTTGCCATTCTTGGGGGGGCACGTGCCCCTTTGCCCCCCTGGGTTCGGCGCATATGCTTCCCACATGACTGTATCAACTCTCTTGATTTTTTATTCAACGTGTGTCAGTAGTACCATAAAGGTGTCACGATTCATCTTCGAAAAAGCACGGAAACGATGGGGATCTTCATCCCGTAAATCTCGAAAAATACCTGTATTGGTTTCAAAACCCTTTTCTCGCCTCCTTGCTAGCCTTTTTTGCAGCCACACGCGTCTGTCACATTTTATACTTCGCTAACATCCTCTAATTCTCATCAATTAAGTCCCAACCAGTAACAAAGTGACTCCTGAGAATCAATCAACCAGTCCAGAGGCGTGCCCAAGAGGGAGGGGGGGGGGGTTTGGGGTCATACCCCCCCCCCCCCTACATACATTTTCCAGGTTCAATTCTCAATAATAAATTTTTCCCTTATATGCAGGGTGGGTCATCAATTTTTCACCCCATTGGGATTTTCTGGGCACGCTACTGTACCTGTCAATAACTCCGTGACATCAACGATTAATTTGAATGGCAGGAAATGTGCGTAAAATCCGTTAGAAAAAGATAATTTGATATTGGCTCTACCTGAAAACATATTGAGTTTAAAATTGATGCTCGTGCGTTTAATCCGATGACCCACAAAGCAACTATCCTACGTGCTTTGAAGATCATTTGGAAAGCGATTGACCAGATCCCTATAGCACAATACAAGCCTGAATCGCACGAAGAACGGATGCCCTCTTGGTAGAGGAAGAGATAAGCTGGGCAGAGATTTTTGGTATCGTACTTGACCCGTAACGGGAAGCTCTGGGTCCGAGTTCACCCTAACACGACTGGGGTACTTTCTTTATTCTCTAGAATAGTACTCTTTCTAATCAGAATGCGACTCGGGCTCAAAAAAATCCACAAGGATGGAACCTAAGAAACCAATCCAATGGCAAATCCAAGCGTCCTTGCTGTCTTGATATTTTTATCTGAAATTGATGGGCGGGGCTCGGACTGTATTGTCCAAAGCAGCCATCACAGCTATGATTTTGCTCATATACGTACAATCGCTCCCATATGAGTGAATTTGCTATGAGCAGGTGATTGAAGGGACCTATGAGAGGACTTCGTGACTTTTCAGAACGTCTGCCGCACGTTTAGTTCTGCTCTTGCATTCGCCCTGTCGAGATCGGAATGGAATTTTCCGAGGATGAAAACTTCCCAAGTAACACAACATGTTGATGAAACGTTTCCGAAATGTTGCCTATGTTGCTCTATGTTGCAAGTTGCTGTACAGCATTGATAAAACATTGCTTCAATGTTTTCACTTGGAATGTTGCTTTCATCTCCAACGGGGCTGGGCATGGCCCTTCCACCCCATACCCGTACGGGGTGACTAAGGGATCTCCCCCAGTTGGAGCTCAAAACAGAAAGGAAAATCATACTTTTCATTTTTTTCGTGAAGCAGCATTTTGTTTTCAATTTTCCATGAGCCTTTGTTGAAATTTTGCCATTCTTGGGGGGGGGGGGGCGTTACCCCCTCAATAATATAGTTGGGGGGGCACGTGCCCCTTTGCCCCCCTGGGTTCGGCGCCTATGCTGCTATGGATCCACTTCGTTTTCTTTTCAGGAGGCGCGTGAATATCCTTGGGTAATCTATGCCAAGGTTTTCAAAACGATGCAAGAAAGCCTCCAATGAGACACACACGACGGAAGACTATCATGAAATCAGATGGATGAATTTATGAGGAACTTCCACGGATTCAAAGGTCAATATGAGTAGAAGGGCTTTGCTTGGATGCACTTCTGACTCTGAACAGATTCAGATTGGAGGCTGCCCCAACCAATCACTCATCCTGTCTTCGAACTAGGAAACAACAGGGCAAGGGAGAGATCGAGGTAGTGAAAGATAGGGATGCGAGGAAGTGAGTGAGAGCAGGTGGATTTAGCATGCTCCTCATGCAGTGTCTGAGATGAGTCTAGGTTGAGGCCGGAAATCCCTCCATTACTGCAACATGATCCCTCTTTGGTGGTGAAATCGATAGAAATAAACAAGCTTCCCTAATGCTGGCGAAATTGAGCCGGGATCCGTCCTTCTCTCCCTTCCCCAGAAGGCCTTTGATGAGCCTCCTTCGATCCTGACTGACAGTTGCCACAGCCCACGTCCACCTGGGCTCGTGCTTCTCCAGAAGATCCCACGTTCCTGGCTTACGTTAGGTTGAGATGTTAAACGAGGAAGTTCCACATCTCTCACCCACCAGAGGTAGTGTTCAGGAACGAGGTGCCACATCTCGTTCAACCAGGAACGAAAGTAATACAATTCTCTGCTCCAGTTCCCCCGAGTGGTGAAGGTCATAGACACCGTTCTGAAAATGCACGTAGCTGATGTAGCAGCCTGTGAGCTGCTTTTCTCAGGGGCACTCATAGCCGACCCAGAGTCTGACTGCGAGAGCAGACGTTTCGGATTATTAACATCAGCACATGTCGCACTACTAGTTTCACTTGTCACGAGCCTAGCAGGAACAATGTCGTTTAAGTCTTTTAATGTCATTCACTGACGTTCTCGTCCCTGACCCCCAGTGACTTCTGGAGACACAAGAACCGAATCAATGTTCATATCAGGCATTCCTAGTATAGGAAAAGAAATTCCATATTCCATATTCCATATTCCAAATATTACTCCAAGATTGGTTGGATTTAGACGTGAGAGACTATTCCAACTAACAAAAATTTCTTGGGTGCATAGCTAAGTCCAGCTGAAAATTCTAGCAGGAGCATTCTACCTCTCTTAGGGGAAAATTCCAGCATGCGAGGGGCGTTCGATAA